AATTTGTTATGATCCACACAGTCGAATGCCTTTGCATAGTCAATGAAACACAGGTAAACATCTTTCTGGTATTCTCTGCTTTCAGCCAGGATCCGCTTGGCAGGTTCCAATTGCCTGCCTTTCAGTTAGCAGCCATGCGATTAACTACTGCGCCATCACATCAGGGCTCCTCAGGGCATACTAAGGGAGAAAAATATTCAACTCTGATTTCCCCTAATCCCAGTCCTATTTTGGGAATGGGGGATGAAGGAACAATATGACCACTAACCACTAAACTTTTTTTTTTTCTTTGCTGGTTTAGTTATGCCAATTATCTATACCAAAAAACCCCAAACTCATTGCCATGGAGTTGATTCCATCTTATAGTGACCCTATAGGACAAAGTAGAACTACCCTAGAGGGTTTCCAAGGCTGTAATCTTTACAGAAGCAGACTGCCACACCTTTCTCCCTAGGAGCTGCTGGTGAGTTTGAACAGCTGACTTTTCAGTTAGCAGCTGAGCGCTTAACAACTGCACCACCAGTGCTCCTTCCAATTCTCTATACCCACCCAAAACCAAACCCACTGCCGTTGAGTTATTTCCAACTCGTGACCTCATAGGGTTTCCTCATAGGGTTTCCAAGACCATAAATCTTTAAGGATGCAGGCTGTCACATGTTTCTCCCGTGGAGCTGCTGGTGGTTTCAAACCTTTTGGTTAGCAGTTGAGATCTTTAACTACTGCACCGCCAGGGCTCCTTATTCTCTATACAGTGCTATAAATTGTCTACATTCATTTTGGGATTCAAAATATTACAGAGCTTAAAACCAAAAGCCTGTTGCTGTCGAGTAGATTCCGACTCACAGCGACCCTATAGGGCAGTGTAGAACTGCCCCACAGGGTTTCCAAGACTGTACTCTTTAAGGAAGCAGACTGCCACATCTTTCTCCTGCAGAGCAGCTGGTGGATTTGAACCACCAACCTTTCAGTCAGCAACTGAGTAATTAACCACTGTGCCATTAGGGCTACTATTACACAGCTTAATTCTTCAATTAAGAACCAAAGTCCTACATAAAACCAAAAGAATGTTATTGAAAGTGAGAGAATGGATTACATTTCTATTTTTTTTTCCCTGCAGATTAGAAAAAGTGGACATTTCCCAATGCCAGAACTTAAGTTGTCAATTTCATTCCCCAACTTGACATCAGATGGTTACCCTGTGTTGTACCCAACTGGATGGTCATCTTCTAATGTAAGTAAACTGTGCCTTAAAATTGTCATTAGAGCTCTCTTTTTTTCACTTTGCATTTAAAGCTTAGTTCTTCTTGTTCCCCACTCCACTTGATATAAACAGCTTTACCAAAGTTGGAGAAGTATTTAGAAAATAAAAATCATGATAATAATTTCCACTGGTTATTTAGTAGATTTTAGGTTCTTGACTGTCGACATACGTCTAAAATGTTTGTAACAACTTTGTTTGGCGTGTCGGAACAACTCTAAAGAGACTTCTGAATTGATCCTAAGCACAAAGATGTGCATAAACTAGTTGCTAATTGGGGAAGACTTGTGCCTGTTTTATAGTCACACAGATTAAGAAATTTTCATACAGATAAATGGGGTTAGAGAGGCATAGTATATGTTCTCCTTACTCATGGTGTTTTAAAAGATTTAGGTATTTGAGACAACCTCAGGGAAACATTTTAAACCATTTTAATTACATATACAAGTTATACAAGTTGGAGTGATAATCATATTAAAGCCCTTCTATAGATATCAACTGGGGAGATCTGTTAGTGCAGCCACCTCTTTAAACAGTGCTTAGAGAATCACTGTCTTTTTTTTTCCATCCATTTATTGCACCAAAACTTGTTCATAGCTCCTAAATAGTCTTCTTCAGTCTATACTCAGAAGTTCATGAGAATGGTATTTTGTCTTTTGACACTCACTTAATTCTGTGCTCTTCCTGTTCCAACTGTCTCGCCTACTAGAAAAAAACACTTTAATATACCCCCAGCGAGAGTGACCTTTCATGTAGGTCTGAGCTCTCAGCGTGGCCAAGAACCTCCCCCACCAAAAATAAGAGGTACGTTATTGCGTCCTCACCTCAAGCAATACCAGTATTACACCTCCTTTTACCTGTAGCATTGAATGAGTCTTTCTGGTAGATAATCTTTGTTATTTAGTGCCTGAAACATTAAAAAGCATAATAAGTATCGAACTAATGCATGAGTGATTTCATCATTTGATGATTTGTCTTCTTTTCACAGATTTTTTTAAGAATATTATTCTCAGAAATCAAGAAATAGCAACAGTGGTAGTTGGCTTACAATCGTATAGATATTTTCTGCACCACCCTAAAGGCAATGAAAAAATACACCTCTTAGAATTTCTCTCTAAACCAAAAAAGTAGGTTTGTGAGAATCTAGAAAGAAAAAAATTGCAGTTTTCATACTACTTATGAACCTTAGTTCTTATTGCCTTTAATCAAGAATGTAGAGAATCCTGGGGGAAGCAAAAAATGTATTCGATTAAGTCTGGAGAAACAATCCAAGGACCAGCTGTCTCATAAGCACAGCATTTTAACATCCACTGGTACATAAGAGGCTCCTCCATACCGCACACTCAAGATGGATATTTAATATGTGGTGATGGCTGTCATTCACAGATGTTCACATTGTTGCACCAAGCCATTTTCCCTTCTGACATCTGGCTGTATCTGATCAAAGAAATATTTTCATTTCTTAGAATGCAAACTGCAAACCCAGTAGCCTTCTGGATCCTCTTGGAATCAACTCTGGGAAGAAAATGATTATATCCAAATCTGAAAATCTCAAACGAGGCACAATTCTGGTAAATTCAGATAAATAAGATAATGCTAATTTTATCTCATGTTTTCCATGTGAATAAATTCAATATAAACCTAGAAATAGCTATCTTAAATATTCTAATATAGTATCTTTTATCAAACGGCAGGAATACTAATATGTACCTCTGAACATTTAAACAGGACTGCAGTTCATGTAAATTTGCTACCATTACATGTAATCTGATTCCTTCGGACGTGAGCCAAGTGAATGTTTCACTTACCTTATGGAAACTAACTTTTATAAAAGTAAGTGGCTTGCATTGTTCTGTGCAAATACTGAATCAATCAAAAGATATTTCTTTCCTGCTTAGTATGTGCAAAGCAGAGTGCTGTTATAGAGAGAACATGAGACAGAAGTGCAGGATAATGGGGTCCAAGCTCCGGCTCTATTTCGCCAGCTATGCGGGCCACATTTTTTCTGGCCTGTTGTAGCTAAGTTATCTCCAGGGTCCCCTTGCAGATACATACCTTTCTCAGTCTTTCTGATCCTTTTTCTTTGCACCTAATAAGTATTTCAAAACTGGTGGTATCAAATGACTTCATTAACAAAGATAGAGCTCGCATGTATTATGGATTCATTGTTTTATATCAGACTTACATTCCATATAAATATATTTTGGAGGATATGTTTTAACCCCTGATAAAACCAAATCTGTCTGACAGTGAGCTGTTTTAAAACTTAGTCCATTATATTTTGTATTATTTGTTACTCTCTTCGGGAAGTATTTAGTTGATCATATGACATTTCCATTTTTAGACTTGATCATATTAAATTGCTATTTTGTAAGTCAAGAATTGTTGAATATTAATAATTTCATTAGTCCCAAATAAGCATCTACATAAATCTCATTACTAGGGTGTAGCTACCAAAGGAGGTAGGCATAAAGTTTTTGTCTGTGTCTGTTTTTCCCTAAGGGTAAATCTGAATAGAAATTATTTAGGTTTTTTTCCCCATTCTATAACAAGAATCTAAGTGAGGTTTTGGGGCAAAGGAGGGAGCGTGGGTGCACATTCATCATTTGATGCCATCAGTTTTGTTTGGAAAGTTAACAAAACCAGCATTTTTAATCTCTTAGAAAAATTCGAGCTTTAAAAATTGCACTATTCAAACATGACAAGCTCTCATTGAGATTAACATAATATTTTTTTAAAAATCCTGTTTGCTTTTCAGACACATTTTTCCAGCTTAAATCTTACTGTAAGGGCGGAACTTCAGAGTGAAAATACATCCTTGATTTTAAATAGTGGCAATAAAAAAAGAGAGGTAAGTACAATGCTAAGTTTTGAAAACACATTTCACTCTGAATTTTATGACATAATGTTTTATAATTGCTTATAGATCCAAAAGCAGTGACTAGAACTACTCTCAATAAGTGACAGACACTTTTTGCTTCAAATTATACTTCATTAGCTTGAAGTGTGATTTCAGTCTCCTTCTTTCTTGTAAGAAACTGGGAAAACCATGATATTTACGATTAACATGCCATGTTTGACTCTATCGCTTCTATCACAGCAAATTGATGTTTTTACTTTCACCCTGATAATAAATGATACATTTGTAATTTTCCTCCTTAAAAACTGACATTATGCAATGCAGCTGACGTTTGAAAAGCAGTCTTGAAAACCACTTTATTTACAGGAAGTGCTTTTATATTATACAGGAATAATACGTATACATTTTTAACAGTGTTCTTCATTTAGCCATTAGGAAATTTGAAACAAAAATGAAGTGCTATTCCCTGATACATATTTAGGCTTGAGTCCTTGGTAAAAATACAGTGGTGTTTTTTACTCTTGCCTTTTCTAAAATATGACCAAAGCATTTGTGAACCCAGGCACTTCAGCATCATTCCCCCCTTACTATGGGAGAGTTTAAATATCCCAGAAGGAAAAACAGCACTGAGTGAGTCATGAAGTTCTATTTGGAAGCACCCTAACATTCAATGTTCTTTTAAAATTGCTTATTTCAAATTATTACAATGCCAATGACCTCTGATAAGTATACACTGTTAAAGAAAAAGCAAGAATTATGTATATAATGTTTACTTTATAGAGCAACTAGCCTGAAAAATGCAAAGTTCCTCCCCACAAGAAAAGCTAAAATTTTACTAGTTCTTAAAAATTAGGAGTATGTATAGTATTGGAAAGAGTAGATTTGATTCTTAAATATATTGGGTTAAAACTTTAAAACTAGTTTTATTTCCCCTAAATATTATCTAAAAATTCCCCTATGGAGATACCTATTCTATATTTCATCCTACAAGAAAATCATACCTAAACTGATAAAATTACTAAAAGTGATCATTTGGTAATTGTGTGATCCTGGATCTCTGATCCCATCTAGACTCCAGTTTCTGTATCTGAAAGTTCAGGGAATTGTTTTAGATGTTGTTATGAATTGAATCATGTCCCCCCAAAATATGTGTTGTAAATCCTAACTTCTGTGCCTGTGGTTATAATCTGATTTGGGAATGGGTTGTCTTTGTTATATTAATGAGGCAGAATTAGTGTAGCGTGTATCTTCAGTCAGTCTCTTTTGAGATATAAAAGAGATTAAACAAGCAAGCAGAAGAGAGATGAGGGAGAGAGATGCCAGGTCACATGAAGATCGCCCAGGAGCAGAAGCTCAAAGAGACAAGGACCTTTCTCCAGAGCCGGCAGAGAAAGAAAGCCTTCCCCTAGAGCTGGCACCCTGAATTCGAACTTCTAGCCTCCTAAACTGTGAGAAAATAAATTTCTGTTTGTTAAAACCATCCGATTGTGGTATTTCTGTCATAGCAGCACTAGGTAACTAAGACAGATGTGTTTAGAATCTGTCTTAAAAGGTCCCACTCTGTATATAACTATACTACTACCAGTAAAAATGAGTTGCTATTGAGTCAACTCCGACTCAGTATGTGTCAGAGTAAAACCGTGCTCCATAGGGTTTTCAACGGCTGATATTTCAGAAGTAGATTGCCAAGCTTTTCTTCCAAGGTACCTTGAGGTGAGCTCAAACCTCCAACCTTTTATTTAGCAGCCAAGGGCTTTAACCATTTGCACCATCCAGTAGGGACCTACCCACAGTGATCTGATGAGTTTGGATTGGTATCCACAGTATGCAAATATCTTCCCTGATAGTTTCCTTTTCTACACCTAATCTTCCCTCTAGGATAGGAAATTGAGATGTCCCCTGTTAAATGCAAATACAGAATCTTGAGCCATTATTAGTCATTGGTATCTACCTTGGGTTATTTTTTTCAGGAACCTAAAGGATGGGACACAGAGCAATCAAGTTTTATTGAGATTTTGAGTTCCAAAATAAGAGTCCCTAAGTAGCTGAAGTACTAAAAGCTGTCCACTTCACAATTTTACTTCCATTGATATCTGACTTATAGATGCTGACTAAAATAAAGCTCAATTAAAACAGACAATGTGGTATAATAAAAAGAACATTAACCCATTGCCATTGAGTCGATTCTAACTCATAGAGACTCTATAGGACAGAGTAGAACTGCCCCATAGAGTTTCCAAGGAGCAACTGGTGGATTCTAACTGCCTTCCTTTTGCTTGAGAGCCGGATTCTTAACCATTGCACCACCAGGGCTCCAAAAAGCACGTTAGGGGTGAATATATATACAAAAATCATTTATCTGTACACTTGCGATTTGTTTATTTTACTGTATGAAAATTATACCTCAATTTAAAAATGTAAAAAAAAAAAAGCACATTAAAATAAAACAATGAGACCCAGTCAGGTTTTTATGTCAATGCAACTTATGACCTTCCAACCCTAAACTTACACTGTTTGTATAATGCAATGAAATGTATTAATAACATCTTTAAACACATGATACTTTTGGTTCTCCAGGAGTTATGCAGAAATTTACCCTACCCTTGAACATTCTGATTCATTGACGTTTTGCTCTTTATGTATAAATTTCTGAAGGATAAGATAATAAATATCTTTCATTAATAATAAATTTGACATGGTGAGAGATTTAGAATAGTTGGAGAACATTTTGAAATGTAAACTCAATGTTTTCTCTGTATGTAGTAATGAGATAAAGTGCACTGTGTGATAGAAAATTATAACCTACTAGAACTCAATGTTCTGGGAGTGCTAATAGGTGTTTATTAATGTTCACAATTTTGTTTAATAATTCCCAGCTTGCTATTCAAATATCCAAAGATGGGCTACCAGGCAGAGTGCCATTATGGGTTATCCTGTTGAGTGCTTTTGCGGGATTATTGCTGTTAATGCTGCTCGTATTAGCCCTGTGGAAGGTAAGCACCAAAGTTCCTTTGACTTTCTGTTTAGATCATCAACAGCAAATTGACAAATTATGATGCATCCATACTGTGGAATACAGTATTATACTGCTATACTGTTAGGAAAAAAAAATTGAAATGATGACCAGGATACAAATAAAAAAAACATATTTCAAAGCCTGTAAACAACTTGTTTCCATTTTTGTAAAAGAAAAAAAAAAAAGACAATGTACTTATTTTGGACTGCGCGTATCCCCAGATCATGGAGGATCTTTCTAGAGGTTGGGATTATAGAGGACTCTCATATGTCTGTAACATTTGAAATTTTAATATAATTATGTATTACTTTTATAAGCAGAGAAGAATGAACAACATATTTTGTAGAAAAAGAAAAGTGTGGATTCCAATGTCAAATTAAGGGCATATAGAAAGTTGGTTCATGGTTAAAATAAACTTTGTCCTAATCATGTATCTCTGTGTATCTTAAAAATCAAATGCTTCCTCTATATACAAATATACCACCTTTAATGCAATAGTTGTGTCCCTTGACTGGGAATGGTGGGGGAGGTTAGTAATTAGTTGATATAAGGTATAATTTACAATTTCCAAGACCTATATTAAATCCATTTGTCAAATTGAATGACCGTCTATTTTCTCTGGGGTAAATCTGGGTTTTTACATAGATATTTTGCTTAGAGTGAGGTATGCAAGATTTTTCAAGCCCTTAGCTGAATCATTTTCAATGTCAGCAGAACTGAGATAATTGCTTTTAGAATAAATTTAATAGGGAATAAAATCCCATTAAAAAGTTGAATTTAATGCTTTTCTAATTAAACATCAAGTTGGCATTTATTCAAGCATAGTATCATCCTACATTTTGCCTATTATTTTGTTAAACAGTTAAACTATGTTAAAAATACAGACTGTGACTACATATTCATTTTTCTAATACCCGAGCAACAGAATTGTCTTTTAATCGAATAGTTTAAATAGTAAATTTCCTCCTACTGATTATCTACTGTTCCTATTCTTTCTAACTCTTCTATAATAATTAACTTCTTGCTTTTTGGAGGATTACTATATGAGGAGAAGATGAGCAAACCTGTGTTCAAGGTTAGTAGCATTTAGTTCAGTAAATAGAATCCATAGCTCTTCTCCAATGAAGTCCCCAAGACAGGATTCTTCACCATATCAAACGTTCAGGGTTCTCCTAGTTTACAAGATCCTAGCGCTCTCTGTAATACCTGACTTTGCCACACTGTGGTACCCAAGGCCTGGCTTTTTGGTGTCAAGATTGTGCTTCAAATATAGAATGCAACTTCTTTGTTTACTACGCAGGGGCAGATTATCCAATAAACAAGGAAAGCATGGGCTTGCTTGTGCTTGCTTATTAATTTATAGCAAACAGTCTCACATTTTTTCATCACGTCAAAGATTCTGCTTCTAGCGATGGCCAGCTTCGGTCTTTCTCCCAACCCCACAGCATCTTCCTACAGATTCAATGCCTCTTTTCAAATTTACAATCCCTGACAGGGGTGGATGACTCAGTAAGGAAGGTAAGCATGGGCTTACTTGTGCTTACTTACTAGTCCTTGGTAAGCAATTTCACATGGGTTTCACCTTGATGTGGTATGGTGAAACTGTTCACTACAGATTAGTAAGTAAGCACAAGTAAGCCCATGCTTACCTTGCTTATTGGATAAACTACCCCTGAGAGAGAATGTTATTGCCTATTGCTTTTAGTACAATCTTTTATTCTAGCACTGAACCTGTTCCTACAGCTTTAGTACACCCTTGACAAGAGAAGAGGAGAAAACAGCTGATATTTGGATAGTTCTCCCTGGCCTCATACCTCTGTTCAAAACAAGTAAATACAACATTTCATTCACTTTTTTTTTCAGTCACTAGTCTGAAAAAGCATACATAAAAATAAACACATCCTTCCATCCAGTAAATGTGTTGATACATTTTTCTGGATTCTTGGTCTTCTTTTTTAGGTCCAAAGCAAGGTCATTTAACAAACGTTTGGACTGTCCTGACTAGTAGGTGTAGTTCAGCCACTTCCTTGGGAGGTATAGCAATTAGAATTCAGATTTCAAAGTAGAAGGAAGGGAGCTATCACATTGAGTGCTACTATGTGCCAGAACCATTTTAAGCATTTCCACATACTGTCTCATTTAATACTTACAGCAACCTTGTGAGGTGGACAGTGTCATAAACCTCATTTTGTAAACGAGGAGCTTGAGGCACAGGAAAGTTGAGTGTTTCCCAGGCCTTATGCTTTGTAAGGTTCAGAGCAAGGAGCTGAATCTGGGCCATTTTACTCGAGCATCCACACTGTTAACCCCTCACAGCATATTCTCTCTTGCTTTGATTCACTCTGATATCCTTACAACAGCCTTTTCAACTAAGTCTTTTTTTTTTAATTGTACTTTAGATGAAGGTTTACAGAACAAACTAGTTTCCTGTTAAACAGTACGTATATTGTTTTATGACATTGGTTAACAACCCCACAACATGTCAACACTCTTCCTTCTCGACCTTGGGTTCCCTGTTATCAGCTTTCCTATCCCCTCCTGCCTTCTAGTCCTTGCCGCTGGGATGTTGTGCCTGTCTAATCTTTGGTTGAAGGGTGAACCTCGGTAGTAACTTCATTACTGAGCAAAAAGGGTGTCCGGGGGCCATACTCTCGGAGTGTTTCCAGTCTCTGTCAGGCTAGTAAGTGTGGTCTTTTTTTGTGATTTAGAATTTTGTTCTACATTTTTCTCCAGCTCTGTCTGGGACCCTCTGTTGTGATCCCTGTCAGAGCATTCAGAGGTGGTAGCTGGGCACCATCTATTTGTACTGGATTCAGTCTGATGGAGGCCGTGGTAGATGTGGTCCATTAGTCCTTTGGACTAATCTTTCCTTTATATCTTTAATTTTCTTCATTCTTCCTTGCTCCCGAAGGGATGAGACCAGTAGAGAATCTTAGATGGCTGCTCAAAGGCTTTTAAGACCCCAGATGCTACTCACCAAAGTAGAGTGTAGAACATTTTCTTTATAAACAATGTTATGCCAGTTGAGCTAGATGTTTCCAGAGACCATGGTCCCAGCGGCCCTCAGCCCAGAAGTTTGGTCCCTCAGGGAGTTTGGATGTGTCTACAGAGCTTCCATGACCTTGCCTGGTACAAGTTGTGCTGGCTTCCCCAGTATTGTGTACTGTCTTCACCAAAGTTACCACTTGTCTATTGTCTATTTAGTTCAACTAAGTCTTTTTAACTACATTTTATACAGGAAACATAGAAGCAAGGAGAGATTAAATAACTTCCAAGATTATCAGCTAGTAAATGACTGGATTCAAGCAATGACCTACCTGTAAAGCCCATCCCCTTTCCAATGTATCCCACTGCTGCAGTCTATGCCACCGGGCTCTTTACCCTAGAGCTGCAGGAATTAAGTTTCATTCAAGAGGGTCACGAACTCCCTGAAATGTGCAAAAATATTTGATTTCATAATGAGGGTCTCTGGTTGCACTTGGACTTTCAGCAGGCTCCATTCTACTGAAAAGTTTACCTCCACTCCTGCTTTGAAGCTGTGCTGTCACCTCTCTGAAACATGCATTCAGTCTGCAGGAGGCTCAGTAGAGCTCTGTTCATCCTTAGGCATCTCTGTATACTAACTAGATCTGGAGAAGACACCTCAGACTATCACTTCTTCCTCCTTCTTCCAAATCCCACTACCCTGAAGTTCATTTGAATTCCCTAGTCTGAGATTCCATCAAGGGACAGGCCAAAGATTCCCCCTGGATCAGTGATTCAGTTTCCGAAAGCACAGCCTTTATGGCTTTATCTTCATAGGACTGAAAGAACACCAAACCCACTGTCCTCCGGTCGGTTCCAACTCACAGCGACCACTCAGCACAGAGCAGAATTGCCTCATAGGATTTCCAAGGTTGTAAATCTTTGCAAAAACAGGCCGCCACATCTTTCTCCCTGTGGAGCAGCTGGTGGGTTTGAACTGCTGATCTTTTGGTTAGCAGCCGAGAGCTTAACCACAGTGTCACTGGGGCTCCTTTTCTTTGGACACATGGCAGAAATTAAAGCTTGAGAAAACCTTAGTAGCTGAGGAATAAACATATTTAATGATTGAGAGGGGAAACTCTGTAGGGGACACAGGTTTAAGTAGGTTGAGAAACACGTCCTGAAGCATGGTACCACTAGTGGCTTTATTGCCATGTTGAGGGAGAAGCCCAGTCTGCCAACTAACCAATAGCGTAGAATGTGGCTCTATCCACATAGGAACCCCGAGAATGAAGAAAGTTCCTCTCCCATAACTTGATCTGATACTTATGCCATAAGTTCCACCATTGATGTTTTATTTGTTAATCTTACAGCTTTGTTCCTCATCCAATGTACCGTATTTTTACACAAATAACACTTGCTTCTGCATTTGTTTGCCCTCCTCCGTCGAGGTTTTTTTGGAAGCGTGCTATGCTAATTTTTTACAGCAACATGTGGAAGAGGATTGTTATTGTGCTTGTGAGGGTGCCTCACTCATGCATCTTAATTTTTTTACCCTTTTATTTATTAGTATGAATTAATTCATTCAATATTTATGTAATATATATTCATTAAGCACCTACCTGTGCCAGGGACTTTAATAGGGTTTTGGACTAGGGAAGCATAGAAAGGATCATTAAGCAAATTGGAGGAAAGAAAAAGAAGGAAAGCAAATACTACAAAGAAAGTTTGAGGACCAAAATCAAACTTTTCTTATTTCAAGATTTTGCTTAGGAATGGCCCAGTTCAATTTGAAGCTATAAGCTATATGCTTCTAATATCCACTCTAATCATCCAACTTTCCTTAAGATCCCAGTGTTAATAGAGTTGGTTAGGTGGGAAAATTTAGACACCAGACATTAAGTTTTAAAATAGAGCATTTAATATGTGAAGGCAAAGGAAAGTTGAAAAGAAGTAAATAGATTTCAGAGAGGACGGATAGAAGATCAAGAGTTGGGTGGGGCAGGAAAGAAAAAAGTCGTAGAATTCACCACCTGGTTTTGTGAAAGCCATGGCTGGTTTATTTTTGACTCAGGACATGCAGGGACAAGTTAAAGAGGCCTAATGGTTTGTGAATCTGGGACTTTTACAGTTGGCTCAAAGAAAAAGGACCGAGACATGTAGGAGAACTGACATTCTGGGGAAAAGACAGGTTTATTATGGTTTTCATGTTCATTTGTCCTCTGGTCACTGGGAAATTCACCACACTTTTTCCTCATCCACCACCAACTAGATCTGGCCTGGGGGAAGTCAACATTTTCTAACCTAAAAATGCATACTTTTCACCCTTCATCCCCTCTAAGCCCTCAATTGTTCAATAATCATTATTTTAAAAAATTTAATTACCTTACATAATTCACTATAACTTCATGATTAAGATGATATGAAGGTGCCATACTTTGAAAGGTTTGAATCATTGCCTTTGCTTGAACTATTATAATGCGGTCTCAACTTGGAAAAAAAATACATGGATGAAAAAGCCACTTCTCTTTTAATTTTTTTAAATTCCTTTTTCTTTAAGATTTTAACATTTTAACATTTTAAGTAATCACAAAAGTCCCTTCTAGCTCCCAATCGTTTATTGTTGTTGTTGTTATTCTGTATTGAAGGAAATAAGTAAATATATTTTGTGATGCCAAAAGTCACAAAGCATAATAAATTATGACTCTCCTTCACTACGACATGCAATTTTTCATATATTCAGTGACTTCATTTTCATATCCAAATGCTGTAGGGTGTATACAAGAGGTTCTTTATGTAAAGTCTATGTAGGCAGATGTTCTGATACATTTAACATTAGTCCAGACCACTCAGAAATCTCCCCTTCACCTGGGCCACAGGTGTACCAACCAGATTCCCCATCAGCTCTAATTCCTTCAATTTATGACCATCTATTATTTGGTGGAAGTTTCTCTGCCACATCCTGGGGTGGGGTGGGGGGGTCGGTGGCGGGGATAATTAAGTCAAAGTAGAGTCAATGCCAGCTAACTGCAGTTTATATGTCTCCCAAAATGTATTCGCAGAACACTTTAAATGATTTAAATACATGTATTATCCTTTAGTAGGAGACATAGTATAACAAAAAAGTTAAAAATAAAATAATAATTTGTTTAATGTCATTTTCTTGACATTCCATATTACTTAATAGGTCAATAAAAAATACCCAGAATTGCAAAAATACTATTAAATTAAATTTTATTCAAGATTTGTATTTATTACCAAAATTCAAATAATTAATTCTGTTATGCTTTATATTTTCTCAACAGATTGGATTCTTCAAAAGACCACTGAAAAAGAAGATGGAGAAATGAAATATTTTACAAGAGAAAAAAAAACAATTTTTCAATGATCTATCCTCAGGTTTGCCTCCAATATGTGACAAGAAAAATATAACTAAAGACCTGGTCACATTATGTAATCCATCAGGGATTAATCACTTGGAAAATAACAGCTCGAGCATGAACCAAAAATAATAATATAAAGATATATTTTTATTTCACTGTGTGTTTTACCTGTTCAGCTCATCGGTTTTCAGCAGTGACACATATAAAATGATAAAAGGTATTTTTAAATAATTACTCATTTTTGAGTATTTAAACAAAATTACAGTGTTTTTAGAGGAAAACTAACCTGTACAAATATGTTTATATAGCAAATAACCATTCTAAGTATTTAAAGAATGCATCAAAAGATTTTATGATCACTGAAACATTTATTCTCAAAACAATATAAATTGAACTTTCCCCCTTGATTCCCAATGAATATCCATAGTCAGCATGATAGCATTTGTAAATACCAAGAAAGGAATTACTTGAAAAAGATCACTTCCTCCAATTCAAATGAGAAAAATTTCCTGTAGTGAAATCTATATACAATATGGACTAAAAATAGAATTAAATCACAGAGAATACATTCAGCATCTTTGTATTGGGTTCTGTACTTGGAAATCCTTTTTCCAAGGTATCTGGAAAATGATGCAATTGAGCTGAAATTCTATCTAGGATAGAAAATCAAGATAGACTCATTGTTTGAAAACAAGTGCACTGAATGGATTAATTTAAGCTTTTACAGAACACGCTTAATTTTGATACTGAGCTCTAAAACTCAAAATTCTTTTATACTGAAAACACACTTAAAGCAATTTTTATTTTATTTGTGTGGCGTAACAGTACTTTGTCATGAAAAGCCACAATGCATGAAGGATATGCTAAAATGGTTTCTGAATAGAACATGACTGCATAGATAGAGGCCACTGAGATGCTAAAATCATTTTTGCTGAGCAGCTTTTGAATGTTAGGGGTACCAGGATGTAACCCAAAATAGGAGTTTTCTCAACTCCTTGGTACATGGTTTATTAGATCCCTAAGCTGTGATAGTATGTTTATTTTCAATTTTTTAAAAGATATTTAATTTTCCAAACACACTTCTTATTTTTATAAAAAGGCAGTGTTCCATTTAAGTATTGCATTTTACCAAGAAGTCATTGTTTTGAGTGTGGAATATCAGTATGTAAATAGAACCCCAGAAGTATGTGCTTCTTTGTTCTTGAAGTAATCATTATGGTGCATTGGACGCTACTGTAGCACAAACTCCTAGGTTGCTCCATTTCTTAGGAAAATAACAAAAATGAATGTATAATAGCTGTATGTGTGAACTACTGCTGTAAAGTTTGCTGATACTTCTATAACAACTCCATCTATCCACCTGATTTACCATCGCAAGACCAGAACCTGCAATTATCCAGAAAATCTTGGACTCTGCTTTTCACAAAAAAGCAGCTAATCAAGGGAGAAAATAAATGTCATGGATTGAATTTTCAGAAACTAGTTTCCAAGGAATTATCTGAGGACTCAGAGTCAGCCTACCTCACGGCTTTCCATATCTATACGTAAGCTCCTGTTGGTCAAAGTGATGCCCCTGAGGGTGCCAAGGTCATCTGTAGTTAGAAGAAAGGTTAAATGTTTCCGGAGACTTGATGCCCTCCTGCTGGCCTGTCATTGTTCAGAAATGTCCGCTTTTGGAATTTCCTTCATTCCAGCTAGCTCCAGATTCAGAAATTATTCTTTCCATGTGTTCTTTCTTTGCTCAACAAAACTCAGGGTCTCTCCCAGTCAGGGTCACTGTAATGCACAACTCCAGTGCACAGCCTGCTCAGCAGCCGCCCTCCATTCTCAGCATTCTTAGAAGGAAATCTAACAGATAAAATTAAATTCCCACTAGGCATCTATGACTGATAGACAAAGCATTCACTGAACCAGGAGTGTACACATTTAAATGAAATACATTGTTAGTCCAAAGGGGAAAATAGAAACCAAGGAATTTCAAACCTTTAAGGAAAGAGAGAGGGAGTTGTTTGCTCAGGACAAGTAGTTTACTTGTAAGCCTGGCATAATTTTTAATATAAATCTTCCCTAATTATTAAACAGAATATTTAATGAACTAGAGCTCCTATTTCCTTAATAATTTGTTGAGATTTATACATATAAGTGTGGGTGTGCATGTGTGTATGTGCATGTACACACACATTGAATACAAAATAACACCAAACACAAAAGTTTACAAAAAAAAAAACACAAAAAACTTTATCAATAATAAAAGTTTGATTTTTCCACTTTGCATGTAGTTTTCATTTTCATTAATTTTTAGTTTACAGTTCTGCAACTATCAAAAAAACATAAATGCAGACACTTGGATTAAAAAATAAGTCAATAGATGTTCCAAATTAGCTTTGTACAAATGTGCTAAAACACATTCAGTGATTAAGAAATATACTAAACTCTATCATTTTATTTTCAAATATTTATTAAGAATAATGGGCAGTATTTAAGACTATACATGTACTTACTGACTACATTGCCTAACAACTTTGTTTTTTTTTTTTTAATTTCGCTATTCTTTAAAAATGATTTTTGCTTCAATTCTAAATGAACTACGTATGTAGTCCCTGTACTGACCAAACCTGCTATGGTATATTGGTAAATTGCTTAACAACCAGCTTTCCAGGAAGAAAAAAACCCTGATTTGTATTTTTGCCAATTTCAGTGGTCTGAACACTCTCACCATGGCCAGTTTCAGTCTACCCACGTGACTCTCCCTAGCTCACAAAATTCTTGAAAATTTATCAGTCAGCTCTCATGAACCAGGATGAACTGGTGTCAGCACACCACTGAGCTAGATATAGATTAGACAGATATAGATATGGATATAGATTAACATAGATATGCATATACATACACACACATATATACATGGAATATAAATACACAAACACACATGATATAATCAAATTATGCTGAAAATGCTGATTATATCAAACCTGGTAGATATAATGCTATATAGTTTCTCATTCTTCAATTTCAATTTCTAAAATTATAAACTTCCTTTACTATGAATAAAATATTATGAACTCTCAGGAGAAGAGAGTAATTGAAAGCAAAGAAATATAAAATGTGATACAGAAAAAAGCAGATCTATACAGACTCAAAGGAGCTGTTTCACTTTCTCAGGGAATCCAGAGCCCTGTGAACAACGCTGGGAAAGTTCCAATTTAACTACAACTTCAGTGATCAGATTTGTTAAACCATTTCCCTCTGAGCACCAAAAGCATTGGGAACTTAACTTTTGAATATTTTCTATGTTGTTGAAAGTGTGCTTGAAAAGAGACTTGTAGGAAGAGATACTTTTATAAAATTTGATACTTAGCTACACTAATTTTATCTGTGTATCTACATATGTATGTATCTATCTACCTACAGCTCTGGTATTGCAATGGTTAAGCCCTCGGCTACTAACTGAAAGGTGGGCAGTTCAAACCCACACAGCAGCTCTGCAGGAGAAAGACCTGGTGATGTGCTCCCATAAAGATTATAGCCTAGACTACCCCATGGGGCAGTTCTGCTCTGACACATGGGGTCACTATGAGTCAAAAGCTACTTGATGTTACCCAACAATGTCTATCTGTCTGTCCATCTATCTGTATACACATATTATATATATATATATATATATATAGAAGGAGAGATACAAATGTAAATTCCCCTTTTCCTTTTATGAAACTAAGGTCTAGTCTCAATTGGGAAACAGAAATATTTATACCAAAAGAAAATGTGGCTGCATTGTAACTGAGTAAAGCTGGAGTTGTGAGAAACCCTGCCCTCGACGATTCCCTCCTGGCATCTCTGGATGCCCACAGCATGCACTGTGTTGAACGGCTGTCCTACTGGCTTCTGTGCAGTGTGTTTTCATACAAGGCATGTAAGTGTCTTTGTTGAACACATTGACTGCTCCATCTGAATTGACTTTCTTGCTTTGCACAACATAGAGCAAACCAGGGAAGACCTGGGTCCAGAGTATGGCTCAGGTGCCAGGTAGTCAGGTTACTCTTCAAATAAACAGGCTTCTGGCAAATTGATTTGTAAAAATAGTATTCTATGCGCTCTTCTTTTATTTTCAAATCTTCTCAAGCCTCTCCCCAAGGGAGATTTTGGAGAAGACTATTGGAGAAAAATCTGCTAATGAATCATGTGCTGTTTGCTGTGAATACCAGCTTCAGTGAATTGCTCATTTACACAAGGATTCAGTCCTTGGTTCTTCAGTGGGGCACTAAAAGATTAAGATGGTATAATGTAGCAGGAGCAACGTGCAATGTACTTCAGACAAGGAACATCTCTGAGAGATTTACGTACTATTATGGAGCACTATCATGAGTAAAGAGCCCTGGTGGCGCAATGGTTAAGAGCTACAGCTGCTCACCAAATGGTCAGCAGTTTGAATGCACCAGTCCCTCCTTGGAAGCCCAATGGGGCAGTTCTACTCTGTCCTGTAGGGTCTCTATGAGTCGGAATCAACTCGATGGCAATGGTTTTGGTTTGTTTGTTTGGTTTTTAATCGTGAGTTAGAATCAACTCCAGGCAGTTAACAACAACAACAACATGGAGCATTACCAGCAACTGTGCCAAGGGGAAGCTGGCAGCAATTAGCCCTTTGACGAATTTCCATCAGCACTCCACCATCCCCATACCCACCTAGGAGAATGAAAAATTAAAAATAGAAAAGAAGGGCTTTAAATTCTCAAACTAATGCTTTCTTTTTTTTTTTTAATTAAGATACACAATCTAAGTGTAAACAGCAGAATATTTCATGCAGACACATCTTCAGTGTGAGTCCATCGGCACCCCGTTACAATCATGTTGCTGCCCCTATACTCTTTGACACAACAATTCTGAAACCACCACTGGAGGTGAACTCTGTTAACTCCGCAAGGAAAGGAAACCCAAAGTACATTAAATTAGTTGCCATCGACAAGTCAATTTGATTCATGTCTACCCCATGTGTGTCAGAGTACAACTGTGCTCCATAGGGTTTTCAGTGGCTCATTTTTTGGAATTAGATTGCC